TTATTTTCTATACAAACAGAGGAGTCTCCCCTTCGTCCACCCTTCCTACATTCCCCCCCCCCCCCCCGCCAACATCTCTAAGGCCTAAAATGTGGAGAGGACCTGGTGTGTTTCTTTTACAGGTATTCAAAGAGTGTGTCATGTTTAAAAATGACCCAACGTTACGACACAAGGTCGGTTTAATAATAACGAGGAGGAACTAGCTCCAGATAAATTAGGACTCTTTATAATCCTCACTAAATACAACGAGGCTGTACATTGACCTGCTTTTTGGGTAATATTTTGTTAGGGATTATCCACAAAAACGCTCGCGCTGCGAATGGAGTCAAACACTGCTACGCAATACTGGCTGCTAGCATTAGCTTCAACGGCTAGATTAGCCTGTTAGCTAACTAAGCTAAGTAACGTTAGCTTGGGGATTAGCTTAAAATGAAAATACAATATCTATTTGGACCATTTTTTATTTAGACACACGTGTAGTGTTTGGGGTATATTTTGGATAAAAGCGGCCTCGGTCTTTGCCTCAGGAAAAAGACCAAACTGCCCGTGTTTATTGGTGTAAAATGGCAGCCTTTAGCTTCCTCGGGCTGCTCAATAATGAGTCAGGAAAACAGTTAGCCAGCCAGCCCGTTTAGCATTAGCTTTTCTAGCTCTTGCGCTAGATTGTGACTGTCGTTATATAAAATAAAAAAAAGATGGCGCCCACCGGGTTTTTACGACTCTGAAGTGTCTCCTTACCATGTTAAGACCGCCGCTGTCACTTTATTATAGCTGTATGTGTGGATGTATCGGCCTCCTCCTCCGCGGTCCTCGGAGTGTGTCTGCTCGTCCTGAAGCTAACTGCGATGCTAACTGTTGCTAACTGCGACCGCTCTGCTTCGTTCGCACAAAGATCAGCTCCAACAGCCACCGAATCATGCCGCGTTCAGGTGCCCTCGGAAATATGGCCGTTAGTTACAACAACAACAACAAAAAGTGCACACGAACAAGTTTCTTGAATATGTGTACGAGTTCAAAATAATAATAAAAAAATATTACAATAATAATTCAACAAAAAAAATGTATTGTAGAAATAAAACTAAAACTAAATTAAATTTTTAAAAAATAGAATTAGTAAAATAAGAGTAAGTTCAGAAATAATGAAAGTAGAAAATTAAATGATTACATTAAATTAAATTAAATTAAAAATATTTAAATAAAGAGATCACTGTAGTGGGTGTGAAGTCTAAAAAAAATTACAATTATAATTCAACAAAAAATTATATTGTTAATTTTACTTTTAATTGAATTCATTTAATTTAAAAAAAATTATCCTTCCCTGAACGTTGTTCACTATGATCTCGAATAAGTAATTTTCTTTGCTTTGTTTTTTTATTTTACATCTTAGACTCTTACAGTAAATCATTATTATTATCTGCTGATTCATTTGTAACAAAATAAAAACAGATATGTTACATGATTTGTTATACAAGGCACATTATTTTATACCATAACAGCCTTAACATCCCCAATATAATAAGCTTATACGTATTGTCTATGATATAATATGCTCATAAGTACATTGGCATTGAAACGTCGGAGCAAACGAGGAGCCCTTGAATGCGGTGACAGCGTCACAGAGTGGCGCCTCCATTGGACTACAAGCATGGCTACAAACTACAAATATTGCAATATCTCTCACGCATGCGCATTTGGTTTTTTCAGTCACCTAGTATGACATCTTCATTATGCATGCCAGAGGGGGAAAAAACGCCCGATGCTGACATTTATTTGTCCTTTAATCAGTGTTATGCAAAGACTTCCGGTGTCACATTAGGACCCAAACCCCAATAAAAACACAGATATCTGGCCGATGGTTCATGGTGTTTGTCTGTGTGTAACCTTATCTTTCTCCTATGGTATTTTAAGTTCTACTCTGACCATAATATTGTCATAGTTTATTCCTAGAAGGAACCAAATATTTTCCAAGAACAAGTCAGTCATCAATTACACAACATGCTGTGTGTTCATCTTCACTGCCTCTGAAACAGGCAGAAAGCGACCTCTGCTGGTGGACGAGAGGAACGACAGAAACACAACAACATAAAAGACAATTAATTAACTTAAATTCATTCCCTGGATATTAACTCTAAACTTTACAACACCTAACCAATTTGATGACCATATACAGAACAATATAAGTCCAAAACATAGTAAATGAGTAGTTTTTAACTAATTTCTCTGCAAGAAAATCAAAATCTGTGTTTCTAGACAGAAAACAACATATTTATCGAAATAACTACACAACACTTCTAAACATTTTAACATGGAATGGAACTAAGTACATTTACTCAACTACTGTATTTAATTTTTTCTTTCAAAGGTCGTTTTTATTGATTGTCAATTTAGATATATAATAAATAATAAAATATTTTACAGTTAAAATACTTAATACTAACAGAAAGAGTAAGTCCAGAAAAATAGAACATTTGTAAATATGACAGGAGAAGAAACATTTTAATAAGTAAATAAATAAGTACAAATAATAATATTAAATTAAATTAAAGTAATAAATGTCAAGAAGGAACGCCACACTTTGTGAAATCTACTCTCTGTTCCCTGGATAATAAAACACATTTTCTCCAGATTCAAACGGTACATAATGTCTCCAATCAGCATTTTAATTTCATGCTACTTTATACTTTAACTCAGAGGAATATTCATATATAATATACAGTTATAAAGTAAATGAAAACATTTATAAAATGAGTCAAATTAGATTTACTGCAGCCGGCTGCAATATTTAAACGCTGCTTACATTGTTGCATAGTGAGTACTTTTACTTTTTACAAGTACTTGTATCTTTAAAATTGAGTCATTGCTACTTTGTCGGAATACTTCATTCTTCCACGACTGCAAATTTGTACCTGACAAATCAAGTTTGGTGTATTTAATGGTGCTAAATACTACATTTCCCATGAGCCTCATCAACAGTTGCATGAGACTCATTTAACAGACATTTCATATACAAAATACATGACACAACATAAACAACTGTAATCAAAATGTATATTTCTGTATGTCACTCTTTGTGTATACATTGTGTGTTTCTGTACATGTTTTATTGATATTTAGTATTCGGAGATGTGAAGTTAATCCAGTTTAAAACCACGTGACTTTGAGTTTAGCTGCCAGAAGAGAGTGAGGAGAGCTGACTCAGCATTTCAGGACCGCTGTTTGCTCCATCAGCTGCTTCCTCACCTGAAACAACAACAAAGCAAATAAACACTAAGAATTATTTAGCTTTAATACGCTAATATCGCTACCAAAAGTACACTTTATAAACACTTAATACTTCTACTCAGCTACTCTTTACAGGAACATTTTACTGCATTACTCGTCTAGTTTCTTCACAGAGTCAAATTATTATTATAAAATATTATCAATAAATAAAACGTGATTAATTATTACTGTTTAAATTACCCAGCTGCATATGAAGTCGTTATTTATGAGCTGCAACATTAAAGTGATGAGCACAGCTATTTATTTATAATACAAACTTTGATCTCTTTACTTTTGAAGCATTTTGAATTTCCAGCGTGCATGAAATGTTTTCATTCATTCATCCTTTTTGGTTTGTTTTGTTTGTTTATTGTATTATTTTATGATTCTTTTATCCATTCACCTGTAAAGCACTTTGAATATCTGACGTGAATGAATTGTGTTAATATGAAATGTAAAAGATAAAGAATGTAAATGAGTTTTCAGACCGGTTTCTGTTTCCTCTTGGCTTCCATCAGATCCTGCTGCTGCTTCAAGCGTACTTCCTCCAGACTCAAACAGCCACCTGTTCTCACACACACACACACACACACACACACACAGTGAGATGAATGTAAAACAATAAACATATTAAAACAGATCTTTGTGTGTGTGTGTGTGTGTGTGTGTGTGTGTGTGTGTGTGTGTGTGTGT